TGACGCAGCGGGTGTTTTCAAGGTCTGTGATTGTTCTCGTATCTAAAGACTGTCACTCGACCTCTTCGGTCTCAGTGTTTACGTGGAGTGATGACTTCATGCCCTCTCTCTCTCTCTCTCTCTCAGTGTGTCAGTGTCTCTCGTCCTCAGCTGTATTCTTCTCCTCTGTGCTCTCGTGTTTCTTCAGCTCTGGCAGTTAATAATGTCTCTAAATGTCAGGCATCTTTTATTAAGATCAAAACGCCTCTGAAGGTGTTTGTCCGGCTGTCAGACGGTGTGTGTGTGTGTGTGTGTGTGTGTGTGTGCGTGTGTGTGTTTGTGAGAGAGTGTATTTTCTGGAATCACATGCGTCAGGAATCACACTCAGGCGGGTAGGTTAGTCTCCTCTGGACTAGTTTGTAAACTGATGATAACAACAGACTGCAGTGGAGGATTTAATTCAGATAATGGCCTGACAGTGTCTGTGAATGGGAAAGGTATTCAAGTATTCAGCGGATCAGTGCATCTCTGTCTTTCATCTCTGTGTGTTTCTCTTGTGTTTCTTGAGGAGATTCAGAGTTGTCTCTGTCTCATACATGAACAAAAGAGCAGTGAAAATCCGTCATTATCCACTGGATCATCAGCTCACTAAATCGGTGCTGGATGTCTGCTGTCAGTGAGACTGTGAGTCTGTGCTCACAGATTGAATATCCAGTTGATGTTTACAGTAACCTAAAAACCACTCAGAACCTGCTGTAACCATCTGGCAATCATTCAGATTACCCTAGAAACCATCTAGCAATGCCTAGCAGCCACTCTTATCACTGTGGCTGCAGGTCTTGCACATACACACGCAATAATATTAATTTTGTGATCACATTGAGCGTTGAGATCTCAGTGGATCCAGACGAGCTCCTGAGACGCACATCAGCTCAGGAGAGAGATGTCTGTGAGTTTATACAAACCTGTGTGAGTGTGTGTGTGCGTGTGCGTGTGTGTGAGTGTGTGTGTGTGTGTGTGTGTGTGTGTGTGTGTGT